GGATGGCTCATATTCGTTCCCCTCTTAGGCGCGATCGAATGGACGTAATCAATCGCGATGAACGATCTAAATTCGTTTCCTCCTTAGGTGCGATCGGACGAACGAGATCAATCATGATGAACGGCTTAGATTGACGCTAGATGGGTATAAATACTTTGCATCGCATGGGGGCCCAAACCCTAGCTGCTAGCTCCCGTCGAAGAAAAAGAACCAAGAATCGCAGAAGGAGGCCGACCACCGATTGCCACCACCGACTGCCAAAAAAATGTAAAAAAATTTCCTACTCGCTCGGAATTCGATTTCGAATATCTCTATGGCCAAATCGAAACAATAGGGATTGCGGGTGAGCCGCAAATCGCGGGCAAAATCTGGCGGAGCCGTTGCGACCAAAACTCAAAAATTCTTTAGATGAGCCCCTTCTCGTTTTCCGTTTCACGTAATTTTTTTATTATTATGTTCATCGTCATTTTTTTGTACAGGTTAGTTGATTAAGGAACCCCAGCTACGAAGAATGACCAGCGGAGCTACCGCACCTGATGACCCCCCACCAGTAAGTTTGGTATTTTGGGTGACCAATCGAGTTCCCCTAACATATTTTTCTGCAGAGGTACATGTAAAACCGACCAAAATCAGTTAGGCCAAGACAAACTGCTGCCATGTCGGAAGTTCAAAATCGGCCATAAAGAGTTTTAAATACTGATTTTAGATTTTTTTAGATATTTTTAGGTATATGACGAATATTTTGGATTCTGCAGGAAAAATTTGAGAGATTCGGTACTCGTTAGGAGACGTAATAGACAGTGCGAAGTCTCAAAATAACGATTCGGATAATGATCACTCACTCTATTCTCCATTACAGTAAATTGAGACTTAACAATGTATAATTTTGTATTTTTGTGAAAAGTTAAAAAATCCTAAAAATAAATTACAGGTCACTAGTGGAATCGGAATCGGTTAGTTCATAATTGTTATGATTTCCTATTTGTTTTCATGTACTATTCCTACTTACTTGTTATCGTATTGTACATGTTCTTAATTTATAATTTCAATAGTTTTATCAATCCCGTATTATGATAAGTTACATCGGCTGCATAAATATAGTATAATTAATATGTAAATATAATATACGATATTGGTATGCGTTTGTTGGTTGTTTTGCTTGATATAAATTTTTATGTGAAAGACTTACTGGATACCTAGGGAAAGAGCAGACGGATCCGGTACATAGAAAACTCTACCGTGAATATCACCTCAATCGGATGAGGCTGATAAGTTCCATACCGAAAAGATTTATGATATATAGTCCACCTTCATACCGGACGGAGTATCAAGACGATAGAATATTTGGTGCCCATTACCGGACGAGGTATAAGGACGACCGATTAATTATTAAAATTGAATATTGAGTTCACGAGTAGATGGACATCCTTATGCACCTCCAGAGGTACCAGTAACTAAGTAAGAAAAGAAAATTATCATTATTTGTTCTCTTATATGTGAAAATAAAAAGTGGTATGAATATAGGTCTTCATAGGTTATTTTTGAAAAACTCGTAACAGTATGTATCAAATAAACATTTTTATGTTAAATGTATTTAATTAAAGTAAGAGTTTCATTAGTTGTTTTTTTAATTTTTACTAATATTTAGTTTTTCATATATGTGATTAGTATGATATTCTTATTAGGTTAGTGTAGTTTATAATTTCATTAATCATTTTAGATTAATAAGATCAAGATTCAGATCATAATCAGTAAAAAATTTATAAGTAGTTCACCAAACGGACTCCCTTTAAGTACTAGTAAAAGTTATCCTTAAACATTTATTTATTCGTTTTTTTCTTTAATTACTATTATATTTTAGAAAGAATAATTTCATAATTCTATTGAAACATTCTAAATTATTGTGTAAATAATGTAAACCTTAACTTTATTATTCGTTTCTCTATTTAAATTATAAATTTATTACTTTTAAGGTTATGAACCTCTACATAATTTATTTAATTTTTAAATATTATTTATATTGTTAGTGAAAGTGCCTAATGAACATAGATAATTAGTCGTTGACAAAAAAAAAAAAAATTGTTTGACTTATAAAATAAGTTTGGTACAAACTTCTTAACCAAGACTTAGTTTTGATGATGTAATTTTTTTAAGGTTTTACTTTTTTAAAGTATGATTACAAGTAATTGATTGGATTCTTGAAATTTTATATAAAGTAAAATCCAATGATACAAAATCAATAGAAAATGAATATGGAATATGTCAAAATACGATTTAACATATTTTTTTTATACTTATAAAATATTTTTAATTTACTCTAATACTGATTAGTAAATATATCACATAAATATAAGTTAAACACGTGTTGTATTTTAATTGATTAAATATTCCGGAAAAAAAATTAATATTTAATTATTTATAATAAAAATTAAAAGAATTAAATATATATATATATATATATATATATATATATAAAGCATCAGCTATAAATATCTCCAATTTTCTGGCGGCATAATAAACCCACGAGAGTCTCCTCCTCCTTCCACTTAGCCAAGGTCAGCCGTATCGGTCTTATACCGCACCAAGCACAAGTAGTCATCTGCAACTGGTGTCTGCTCTTCTTTTGCAGCTCGCGTCCCCGAAATCTTTTACCACGCACTGAAACAAGCTGCGGTGATTCACCATTCGTCTTAGGTTTTCATCACACCAAAGCGAAGATGATCATTCCAGTTCGCTGCTTTACATGTGGCAAGGTAATTTTTTAGAAATCCAAGTAGTTTTTTTTCTCTTTTTTTCTTTTTTTTTTTTTGTTTTCTTCAAATCTCAATGGACAAAAAGGAGTATCGATTTCTCAATTTAGATTAGCCCCTTTTTAATTTTTTAGGGTTTCGCTGTGTTTGTAATGTATATCGATTTTTATGGCTTTCTAGGTTATTGGTAACAAGTGGGATACTTATCTTGACCTTCTCCAGGCTGATTATAGCGAAGGGTGAGTTTTCTGTGCAGTAGTTTTTTGTTTGCTGAAAGTTTGTTTCTGATTCTTTTTGTTATATGTTTAGCCTTGCAGTTTTAGTTGAGTTTATGGATGATGCAGTACTAAGCAGTTGAGGAGTTTCTGTTAAATATTTCCAGAGTTTATTCCTTTAGGAAAGATGGTTTTTTTGTGAATCAACACATCTTTGAAATTTAAGGTTACAAAATTCAACAGATTTAAATATATATATATATACACCAATTAACTTTAATAGGTTCAACACATCTTTGAAATTTAAGGTTACAAAATTCAACAGATTTAAATATATATATTTATATATATATACATATATATATTCACCAATTAACTTTAAGAGGTTTATATGTTTATAACACTATTTTTAGCGGCTAGTTATTCTGTATGCATTGCAAATAGGTAGAGATTCTTCAATGCAAGGGATAGTTCAGTTGGCAAGTAGGTGTTATATCACACTTGACTTATCGGGTTCAATTCTTTTTGGTAGTAGTTTGAGGGTAAAACTCCGGATGCACTAGCTTAAATGGCTGGTATGGGGAACTGCCCACTTAATATCATCCTGTAGTAACTTAATCTTGATGTGAGAAAGGTGTCTTGAGTATGGACTCGTGGATTTGGCATCCTGGGGTGGAGGATTTTAAGAAATAACTTCCAAAGTATGCCCAAAAAATGTTTATCATAACATATATTTTGAAAAATTATTTATCAAAATAGGCATATCCACATTTAAAAAAGTGTTGATA